TAGATGTACTTCTATTCTGGCACTAAATGGTAAAACAAAGACAAAAACTGAACAGACATTTCATGAGTAAAGGTACTATAAAAATCCAGTAACCACCGATAAAGAGAGAGAACTGATAAGATGCGTGACCAACAGGTAGTTTTAAAGGTAATAATGAAACTCGGAAGAGAGCCTAATCAAAGTGAAAGAAGAAAATTAGAAGGTGCAATGAGACTATTAAAAATAAAAGATCATGAGTGGTGATGGCCTAGTGGTTAGGAGCCTTTGCTGCCTGAGCAGAGGACCCAAGTTTAGCTCCCAGCTCCAATCATCTGTTGTACTCCAGTCCTACAAACCTGATATTCTCTTCTGGCCTCTGTGAGGACTGCATACACATGATGTACTTACACACATGCAGGTAAAACACACATGCGCATGCAACAAAAATACATAGATCATTAAAAAAGATTTAATACAAGAGGCAAATCAATGATGGTGAAGAGGACAGCACAGAGAATCATGCCCTGCTCACCACTGCAAATATTAAATGTGAAAGGAAAATCGCTGGGGGTGTTTATTGAAGGACATGGTGGTCGATGAGATGGCCAGCAAAGAGCAATCATTAAACCTGTTTCCTAGTTCAAGCAAGTGACTTTCAGAAAAGCCCTACAGGAGCTGCTTTACGGAAGTGGAGACAGTGTTTCCCCTATGCTATAGGAACGAGAGCTAGCAGGTGCCATAGTTAAAACAGATGAAATATAACACCACTGTCCCAGTAGCCTCCCAGATAGAGATCAGCAAAGGGCAGCAGGTCTGAAGGTAGGTCCATGACAGAAAGAAAGGAGTTTTTACCTTCAGACAAAACACAGAGATTAGGTCAGACTTAAAGTTTCATCTAGATACACAAGGATAATGATGTTTTCCCTAAAACACTGGAAGTACAATAGCGTGACATAGCCATGTCATTCTTGAACCTCCTTCCCAGCTGTGATTACCTGGACAAGACTTACACTAGATTGGCCTGTTGATATTCCATTGTGGAAAGGGGGTATCCTCACTGGCCCAACCCTCCCTCAGAATCTATAGGCAGTCAATGGTTGCTGTGAAAGGAAGACATTTTCCTCAGTGGTGTAGTCAAGGGTTAGTGGTCAATGTGCCTGTAAATAACCCATCAGCCATGTTCCTATAAGCAACTCTAATTAAACTCATTGAGTCACCAAAACAAACAAACAAAAACTGGACATGAAAGTCGAATGGGGATTTTAGAGAGAAAGAGAACAGGAATCAGCAGAAATGTGAGGGGAACAATGACAATATTGAAGTGAGCATATGATCAAAATATATTATACACATGTGTGAAAATAACTTTATGAAACCCATTAGATATAATCAATGCATGCTTATATGAAACTAAAAGGGAAGGAGGGAAAGAAGAAAGGGAGGGAAAGAAGAAAGGGTGGGAGGGAGGGAGGAAGGGTGAGAGGGAGGGAGGGAGGGAGAGAGGGAGGAAGGGAGGGTGGGAGGGAGGGAGAAAAAGGAAAGAAAGAATTTTTTGGGGGGGAGATACAATTCAACCTTTTCATCATTCCTGTGAGACAGTGCCAGCATAGTTCCCAGTCATCTAGAAATGAGACAGCTCTGTCAACTCTAAGCTAAAATGGCTGGCAAGAGCAACACTTCTTTCTTGGCAGTAGAAGGTAGAGACACAGAAATGCCCTCACTAACACTATTTCCTAACAGCTTGATCATTCTGTGGCAGGGTATGAGGTATTTCATAACCCTTGATGACTAAATGCAATGAATGTTCATGAGATATAATTTCACAGCGTAATGTGGAGAGAGCTGTTCTGGCTCAATATACTGCCTGAAGTGTTAAATAGATCACAGGGACATCTGGTGCCTGTCCAGGCTCGCAAGGGTCCTGGACGTAGAAGCTACATAGACTGACAAACCACAACCCTTAGATCCATCAGAGAACTGATGTCCAAAAAAAATTAACTGACCCCAAAATTGCAGAGGCCAGTAGCAGAGGAAAACAAACTCAGCTCATTGAGAGAAAAGCAGGAGCAGAAACCAACCCTGCAGACATGACAGGGCAGGAAAACCTGACAAAGGTAGATCTAGGCTTAGTGTGGACAGTTCAAAAGTTCCTGGAAGACTCAACTCCTGGGGACACTTTCATGAATGTTACCTCAAAATTAGGAACAGATAGCAAATCATAGCTCCAGGAAACTCATGGAGGAGCATACAGGGTAAATACTGAGAACAAAGGAACAAACCTCTAAGCTTGAAGCAAGGGAAAATGTATAATAAAACCATAGATCCATTTGTGGGCTCTACCTTGCTGCCTTAATGACCCTGTCCCCCAGCCTCACTACATTCCAGGTTAGATTTCAACATATGAATTGATTGTGGAGACAAACATATTCAGTGTATTACTCAGCTGGAGCAAGAGTAACCCTCCCCCCCATGCAAACTGTTAAACAGGAGAGAACTGTTTGTAAATGAGAAGAGACATCTAGTAACTCTGCATTGTTACTCTACCCTAAGCTAAAGCCACCTCTTGTAAACTAAAGGCATCCTAGCACCAGATAGGATGGAGGACACCAAGGAAGCAAAGGCCACTAAACATAGCACAACCAACACACACATGAACTCACAAAGACTGTGGCAGCATGCACAGGTCCTGCATGGGTGGTAGCTGATGGGGTCCTAGAAAGAGGAGATGTGGACACATGCCTCCCTTCTTTAACCTAGAAGCTAGCTCCAATTAATAACCACTTCTAAAAAATGAGTTTTCTCAAAGGAAGTCTCACTGAGGAAAGAAAACAGTCCTAAGTGTTGGCCCATGCCCCAGCAGTAGATGGCCAACCCAAACTGAACTCAACAGCATCTTTGGAGGTTCCTTGTTTCATAATGTGTGTCAGAGCATCTCTCTCTCTCTCTCTCTCTCTCTCTCTCTCTCTCTCTCTCTCCCAACCTACAGAATTCTTTGCATATGTATTTTATGGTTTCTGATTTTGTATTTTTATGGGATTCCTGTGTGTGCAAACAAGTCTATCTCTGTGTCTATGTGGATTTCTAGTGCTTTTTTCTTTTCCTTCTGTTTGTTTTGTCCTATACTCACTTGTTTGTTTTGTTTTATCTTATTTTGTTATTATTCTTAGATGCTTGTTTGTTTTCTAAAGAGAAAGGATATGAATCCCATTAGGAGAGGAGACGAGGAAGAATTGGGAGGGTTTGGGGGAGAGGAACCATATTCAGAATATATTATATTAAAACATATATTTTCAATAAAAAGGAATCTTATAAAAAACAGATTATTAATAAACTGTAATTCTGTCAACATTGTTTATTAAAGAAATACATATGAAATAGTAAAGATAATGTTTATATAAAATTCCATATAGGATGTGTTCAACTAAATCATCCTGATTATTTGGGTTTTTCAGAGACAGGAATAAAGTGACCAAAATTACTCTCCAATGTCCTTGCCACTTGTTTATGGCATGAATCAGAATGAAGAATCAAAGATGGCATGCACTCATCCTCAAGTACCATGGAGAAAACACCATCATCACATTACGAAACAGGCAGGCCTTCTTTTGTGATCTCAAGAAAGAGCCACTGATGATAATAACTACAGTCTGACAATTGCACTGTGCTATTTGGGGATTTAAATATTACTGAAAGGTACCTTAATTGTGTGTGTTTGAGAGGTGTCAAAATTTACTAACATTTCCATTTAAGTAGCAAGGAGAAAAACTAAACACATTTCAGCCTGGTTCTGTGAACTGATTGAAAAGAGCACATCTAAACAATTCTGATACTTAAATTGTTGCTTTTAAGAGTTTATTCCCTATACAGAAAGTAATTTTAATTATTGCTCATGCAAATTTTCATTTCTGATTAAGCAATACTAAAGAGTAAAGAAACCTTGGGTTTAGTTTTGATGCTGTTACTAATATAAAAACACATTCAACTCAGATATTCAAGATTTTCTCTAGTGTTCTGAGACCTAGTAAAGAAAGAGAAACAGCCAGGCCTTGGTGGCAAACCCCTTTAATCCCAGCACTGGGGAGGCAGAGGGAGGCATATCTCTGTGAGTTTGAGGCCAGCCTGGTCTAGCAAGTTCCAGGACAGCCTCCAAAGCCACAGAGAAACCGGTCTTGAAAAACAAAAACAAAAACAACAACAAAAAAAAGTGAGAAAGAAATGGATACAGAACTAACTCAGAAGCCCACAGATGCAGCACTGCAAAAGGCAGAGGACAATGACATGATCATATCCTGGATATGAGAGCAAAGCTGAATTCCCAGCATAAATATTATTTAGTCCTATTATGACAGTCACTTAAGTCCTGTGTTTATATTAGTTGATATTGGCATGAAATATAGAAATAAAATAATTAACCTTTGTGTGATGGAGTTAGCAATCACACAAGGATTTAAAGCATTGTGGGATGGGAGAGATGGCTCAGTGGACAAAAGTGCTTTCTGCCAGGCCTGACAACTTCAGTTAGATCCCCAGGAGCCTCATGGTGGAAGGAGAGACCGAGTATTCCTGCTGGGGATTGTGCTCTGCCCTCTTCATATGTGCATGAACGTCTCTCTCTCTCTCTCTCTCTCTCTCTCTCTCTCTCTCTCTCTCTCACACACACACACACACACACACACAAATATGCACGTGTGCATACACATGCACACATGCACACAGAGGAGGAGGGCAGACTGAGAGATACAGAGAAACAGAATCAAAGAGACAGAGACATATAGAGGGAGAGACAGACAGACACAGAGAAATACAATAAAAGTGTTTAAAACATTGGCTGTTTACACTATGAAGTATCTGGCATTCCTAGTAGAAATAGTAAATTTCTTAAGTGGACCCCAAAGTGTCTAAAATTCCAAATTACAAACTCGATTACTATTTTGTCTTGATAGAGATCACAAAGAAACCTTATACCTATGCTCATTAAGATATAACAGGTCTACAAAAGACAAGCAGGGAGGGCATCCTACCTTAACAGGGCGTTTCTTCCATCACTTCTGGTGCACCACACCTGCCTGGTTTGAAAACCTATCTCTACACCTCCAGGCTGGGAGTGGTGGTGTGCTTTGTAACTCTGATGTGTTAGGGTGACTTGCTCATTTGAATCGGAGCTAAAATCCTGGACATTTCTTCCACTGAGGTTGACTTCCTTAAGGTGAGGGAGTCTACATTTGCTCCATGGTCCCACCTTAAGGCTGAAGGAATATTCCTCTTTCCCAAGAGGACAGGAAACCGGAGCCTCACAGGCTCTGGATTCAGTCAGATTCGGGCACTGCAGACCTCCATACAGAGGGGGAGCGATGGCCACGCGAGTTCTATGCTGCAGCCTCTTCCCACACCCTTCGCGGCAGGTTGACCATGGAGAGAACTCGGATACCACACAGTCCCTGGGGCAAGGGATGAGGCAGGCTTGCTCTGTGGGGGGCAGAGGGGCAAAGTGTTCGCAGATCTCATTGGCCACCATAGTTCGGTTGATCTTCTGCAGACAGCGCACCGTCCGGTGCTGCAGACCGTGCTGAGCGGTCACACACTCTGAAGCCCGAGGCCTGGGCTCGCCTTGGGCTCCAGGAGCCAGCAGGCAGCGGTGCCAATCGGAAACCTCCCACTGGAACAGGTCACTGTGCCAGTCACACACGCGGAAACAGCTCCTTTCCCTTGGAGGTCGGGTGCTCTCATCACAGTTCGACATGGGACTGGTCCACCCTTCTATGTGAAAACACCACACAGCTCGACTCTGGGCTCCGCCTGGTCCGCAGTCGCCTGCACACCTTCCCCAGGGACCTGAGATAGGAAAACAAGGCTCTCCATCATTCTTCAACTCAGGGGGAAGAAGTATGTTTACACATTTCACAACATATCCATTACAAAAATCATAAATTTGATGTGAAACGGAGGTAATATTTATTGTCGAAGTTGGTGGGCTGTGTCTCAGTTTAAGATGTGGATATCAACTTCCGTCTCTGATCAGAAATACAAACTAGTAAACATTACTTGACTATTGTGATGTTTATTTCCGGAGCCATGTAGGGTGGGAGATACTGGAAGTGCTGACCTGTGGCGTGTTCTGGGGACCGATGGTACAGTGCCATACCAAGGAAACAACACTTATCAACTATCCAACCATTATGACTGTTATGGTCCAAAACCTGTATATATAACTCAATGCTAATTTCTTCTTCTAACTTAGTATTAATATATTCTAGGTAGATAATATGTCATTGAAAAATCATAGGGGCTGGAGAGATAACTCAGCTGTTAAAAGTACTGGGTGCTTTTTCCAGAGGACCCAGGTTCAATTCCCAGCACTCATAAAACAGATCCCAAGCATCTGTAACTCTTGTTCCAGGAAATTCAAAGCCTTCTTCTTCTTCTGGCCTCAGGGACATGGCAAACACATGATCATAGACTTACAAACAGACAAAACACCCCTATTCATAAAAATAATAAGAACAAAAATAATGTTTAAAAGAAAAGCCCTAAGGCCAAGATTTTAATATCGCAGGAATTTTCATGTTTCTACTTCCTCAGTATACAAGTTACATAGCTCAAAAGAGAAAAACATTAAAAAAAACTTGAACCATCCTAATATATTTTTATTTTCTAAATAATTGTCCTCAGTTTAGGTTGGTTTTTCCTGTGGCAAACTGCACGAAAAAAACATATCTGCCACAAGAACAGCAGAGAGGCAGTAAATGGCTATGGAAAAATCGGTTCCTAGAAATGAGATGGGTTTTTTTGTTTGTATGTTTGTTTGACACTGTGTGTTTTTTAAATTAAAGTTTATATCTATAAAAAAACCCACAAATACACACAGTGAAATTAACCAGACAAAAAGTCTATATATCTCAATGACCTTATATACAGTTAGAATAGCCCATTAGGAAGCTATGAAGCTTTGTATAAGAGCTTACGCATTTACTTTTTAATATACGTATTTGTAGTTGGAAGATTTCTGTCTCTCTAGTCAGTTCCCATAGCTGCTTATAAAATAACACTCTGAGGTTTAATATCAATTACAATTGTTTGACCAATGGTTCAGATATATTACTGGCTAATTCTCTCTTATAAATTAACCTATTTATATTAATCTATGTATTGCCATGAGGCTATGACTTACCAGTAATGCTCCAATGTGTTACTCCTTTGGTGGCTACATGGAATCTCCCCAACTCTGCCATCCTTTTCTCTGTATCTTTGGATTTCCCAGCTAGCTATATTCTGTCTGGCTATTGGTTGAAACAGCTTTATTCATCAACCAATAAAAGCAACACATATTCACAGCATATGGAAGGACATCCCATATCATTTATCTACCACACACACACATATCTAAGACAGCATTTGAAATAGAATTAACTTTGTAATCTTATGACTCATTTGTGCCTTTACTGCATTTAGTCCTTCCTTACTTTTAGTATTTAAAATGAAATACTATTCAGTTTTTTAATTCTTTAATTACTATTCATATTTACATATCTATTCCCCCATTCCCTTGCCACCACTAGCCTTCCACGTTCCACACCAACCCCCCCAAACCCACCCCCCAACTCCTCCCCAGGGATAGTGAGGCACTCCACAGGGGAACTTCAATGTCTGTCATATCATTTGGGGGAGAGCCTAGGCCCTCCTTGCTGTATCTGGGCTGCAATAGTATCCCTCCATAGGAAATGGGGTCCCAAAGTCCATTTGTGCTCTAGGGATAAACACTGGCTCCACTGTTAGAGGTTCCATAGATTGTCTTGGCCTCCTAGCTGGTACCCACATTTAGGGGTTTGGTTTGGTCCAATGCTGTTTCCCCTGCTTTATGACTAGGGTCTCCATTCTATCAGTAGGTCAGGTCAACAGTTTCTGCAGGTTTCTCCAGCACCGTCTTGGCTCCTTTGCTCATCCCTTCTCCCTCTCCACAATTGGATTCCAGTAATATGGTTCAGTGCTTAGCTGTGGGTATTCTGCTTCGAATATCTACTGGATGAAGACTCTAAGGATGGCAATCAAGGTACACATCAATCTCATTATAGGGGAAGGGCATCAATGGCATCCTCTCCACCATTGCCTGGCTTCTTATTTGGGGTCATCCCTGTGAATTCCCTAACATTTCCCTGTGCCAGACCTCTCTCCAAACCTGTACTGTCTCCCTCTATCAAGGCATCTCCTTTTTTGCCCTTTTCTATCGCCCCCACCCCTGTCTCAGTCTTCTTGTTCTCCCTTTCTTCCCTTCCCACCACCTTCCTCTCCCCCCTCTATGCTGGAGAGGATGTGGAGAAAGAGGAAATACTATTCAGTTTTAAAGACACTTGTTTTTTCTGTGTGGCCTAGTTAACCTGCGTGGATTAAGCAATTCTCCATCTTCTGCCTCTGCTTCCCAAGTAGTTGGAAATGCTGCACAAACCACAATATCTAGCTAGCTTTGATTTCTGATAGGGACAAACTCCAGGCCAACCTTCCAACATTAGTTTGTGACAGCAGATCCATTAATTAATGAATTTCTGTGTAAAAAGGGGGGGTGTCCATTGGGATCATTTATTTTTTAATCTTGTCTGCTGAGCTCTACTCTAGTGTTAGTCAGCAAGCCTCTCTCAGAAAGGTGGGACATTATATGAAAGCCAGGAGACACCCTCAGAGCATCAGCCATATTCTCTCTTCTTTCCTTCCTTCCTTCCTTCCTTCCTTCCTTCCTTCCTTCCTTTCTTTCTTTCTTTCTTTCTTTCTTTCTTTCTTCCTTTCTTTCAGATAAGGTTTCTCCTCCCTAGCCTAGAGCTCACCAAGTAGCCTATCCTGTGTGGCTTACAGGGGTCTCTGCCTCTCCAGAATGTGACAATAAGTATGTGCCACCTTGCCCAGCCTTTTGGTATGGTTGTGGGGATTGAATTCAGGCCTTTATGCACGCAAAACAAACACTTCACCCCCTGAGCCATCTTCTATCTTTGATCATACATGTTTCACAAGGACAGAAAATAATCATGTTATATCAAGGGAAAAAAGTAATACCCCCTTTCACTTTCCTTACATATATAACCTGAACCTGAGAATACTTAGTAAAGTTAGCTATAAAAATTATGTCCACTATCAAGACTCTGGAGGTCACTGAGACTCTGCATCCCAGGAAGCAGAATGATCAGCACCAGCTGGGAAAGAAGACAGTCACATGGGCCATCCCAAATGCAGCTTAATCACATCATGAAGTGTACTTTACATGCCAATCAATTACGTGTTTAGGAACTGGGGGAGTGACATTAACAGTAGCCCCAGAGAAGGAGGACATGTGTCTGCATTGAGGATGCCTACTATAACAGGGTTTGGCATCCTAATACTCTTGGCAGTTCAGTTCCTTCTCATATCCTTACTCTGGCCACATAGGTCAAGCGTCCGTGATAACACTGTATTGTTAAGCTATGGTGACAATACTTCCTTCATTTATAAAAGAGATCAACACAATGGCAGGGGTTCATTTTGATGAAATGAAAGGGTGAAGTGTACTACAGTAAATCAGCTTTTACTCAGCAATATACCTTTGTGTTTGCCTGATCACTTCCAGCATTTTATCCCAACATTGACTGACCATGATAAAGTGATTACACTTGCAAAATCTCAGTTCTAGCTGACTTTATTAAATGTCTTTAGGTCTGTGTTCATAAGCAACATACAAAGCTATACTATGCAAATGGAAAATGCAAAGCTGTACAATGTGAATGGAAAATGCAAAGCTATACAGTGTAAATGATGCTGTGGGATTTTTTATTTTTCATTTTAAGTATCCTATCCATTGTCCACTGTGTTGGATAATCTGTTGGTCTCTAAAAAAGATCCACTCAGTAAAAGGACAGCTTAAAATCATATGATGGTGGTGAACTTTAAGTATAAAATCAATCAGAGCTGATATTAAAATAATTGGATATGATAAAAGGAAACATTTTGTAAAGTACCTGTGGCTTTAAAATAATGACTGTCAAGGTATCTCTATTTGCTTAGGTATTATATACACATAATTCTCCACTCAAGAATTTTGGTATGAATTAAAGAGAGAGAAGAAAATTCAATTTGTTGCAACTCAATCTTGAAGAAGTTAATATTAAATTTCATTCAGTTAAAACATCAAATATCTATTATCAAACAGATATTGTACTTTTTAAAAAGCATTTGTCTAAGATATTTCTTATCATTACAATATTGTTTTTTCATTAAAAATACTTTAGTTTCTCTCAAATGTAAGGCAGTTCATAATTTTTAGTTTAAACTATCAATATCTTAAACCTTATACAAGGCCCTTTTTTATTTTTGGTTTTCGAGAAAGGGTTTCTCTGTGTAGCTTTGGCACTCCCTCTGGCACCAGGCTGGCCTCGAACTCACAGAGATCCACCTGATACAAGGCCATTTTAATTCAAGTTTTTACATCCTTCATCTACATAAAACGTTACCAATCGCACCATTTTCCCAGATTAATGGAAGACAAAATGTAACTACTAAAAAATGGAAATTGCTACAGTCACAGATCTAATTCATGTCACAGTGAAAGCTTTGGGTCTGCTCATCAATATTCCTGTTGATAGGACTAGTGGCAGTAAGAATAGTAGTGGGTGTATGCAGAATCTTCCCTCTAGGCTGTGGAGGGTATGTGTTTGTAAACACTGGACAGTTTGTGAAGAAAGACTAAAGCAAATGCTCAAGCTGACAAAAAAAACCAAGCAAACAAGGAGCCAATGCAAAGTGAATCCTGTATGCTTAGGATAAATGAAAAGCTAATTATAGAAAAGAGAGATGAGGACTCTGGGCAAGTGGCCTGT